CCCCCCGTGAGTCCCAGCCCTCCGTGGGTGCTGCCCCTGAGGCTGCCCAGGTCCCCTGCTGCAGTCAGGACAGCATCCCCAGCTGCCCCTTAGCTGTGGAGCACCAGATGCTTCCAGCCTGCTCCCAGGAGCCTGAAGCCAAAAGCTTCCCTTAAGACTTCATCCCAAGCATCCTCTGGCCTGCCCCAGCTCTGGGGTGCAGCCGTGGGGTTGCCCAAGGGGGATTTTTCAGCTGGTGGGGTTCTCCTCTCTCTGCAGGCGGGAGGGCACCCGGCTGCCCTCGGCCCCCGGCGGCCCGGCCACGCGGCGGGGCAGGCGCATCGCGTCCAAGGTCAAGCACTTCGCCTTCGACCGCAAGAAACGCTACTACGGGCTGGGGGTGGTGGGCAAGTGGCTGAACAGGACGTACCGTCGCAGCCTCAGCAGCATTGTGCAGTCCCAGCTGGAGATCACCGACAGCCACCGGTGAGGGGAAACCCCCGAGACAGGCACGGGGCTCCCATTAACTCAGATGCGTGTCCCCCTCGATGGTTTGGGGGGAACTGCAGTTTCCCCTGTGCTCGGGGGCCCTTAAGCTGCTCAGGTTTTTTAGGTCCTTTCTTCCTCAGGCCATATTTCACCTACTGGATCACCTTTGTCCACATCCTCATCACCTTGCTGGTCATCGGCACCTACGGCATCGCCCCCATCGGCTTCGCCCAGCACGTGACGACAGAGTTAGTAAGTTTAAGAGCTACTGGCCAGGGTTGTCCCCTCCCAGCTCTGTGGTGAAATGTCTGGCTCTGAAATGGCACCAGCTGGCTGCCGAGGAAAGGAAAGGCTGGTGTCTGGGGGGTGCCTTCAACACCTCAGAGAGGTGATCTTCCCACTGGGGTTAATTCTTGGAACCTGCAGCCAGCTGGAACCAGGCATCCATCTTCCTGGGGGGACCGTGAGCAAGTGTCCCAGCTTTTGTCCTCCCTGTGAGGGCTTGGAGCATCTTGGGTGCTGCTGGGTGCTGCTGCTTGAGAGGCTCCATGAAGTAGCTGGGGCAGGGGGTCCATTGCAGGACTTTGTGGGCTGGGAGCAGAGCTGCTCTTCCTCCCAGGCTCTGGTGGGACCCAGCAGCCCTCCCCCTTGGCCAAAGGGGGCTGCTTAGCCCCCTACAAGCAGAGGGAGAGTGGGCTGCATCACCAGCCCCTTCTGTGGAAGCTGACCCTGGCCTGGCTTGCAGGTGCTGAGGAACAAGGGTGTCTATGAGAGTGTCAAGTACATCCAGCAGGAAAACTTCTGGATTGGGCCCAGTTCGGTAAGGGCCCTGCTGGAACACTGCCCCTCACCCCCAGCCTGGGGCTCTGCCCTTTGCCCACCTCTGCTCCCACTGCCCTGGCCAGGGGTGTACCCAGGGAGTGCTCCTATCCCCGGGGAGAGCTTGAGTCCTCCCAGCCTGCTGCTCCCATCCCTCTGGGACCTGCTGCCCAGTCCCAGCCTGGGCTGAGGGCTCCGTGGTGTGTCCCAGAGCTGCAGCTCTGTCACCATGGGATGGTTGGGAGACATCCCATCTCCTCCCTGCCCACCTGCCCCCACTGAAGTACTGGAGACTCTGGGCCACCATCTGCAGGGACCTCCTGCCCCCGCTGAACTCTACCTGGGGGCAACTAAAGATGGGGGGGGGTGGGCACAGAGCATCTTCTGGACTGGCATTTCCTTCCCAGATCGACCTGATCCACCTGGGAGCCAAGTTCTCCCCCTGCATCCGGAAGGACAGGCAGGTGGAGAGGCTGATCCACCGGGAGCGGGCCCGGGAGCGCGGCTCCGGCTGCTGCGTCCAGAACGACAACTCCGGCTGCATCCAGACCCTGCCGCAGGACTGCTCGGTGCGCGCCAGCCCTGGGAGCTGCCGGGGCTCCCTGGGGAAAAGCGGGGTGGCCGGGAACCATCTCTGCTCTGGGGTCAGGGTGGGGTGTTTACTGCTGTCTCCTTGCCCTCTCCAGGAGACGCTGGCGACGTTCATCAAGTGGCCGGGCAGCAACGCGCCCGCCCTGGGCGCGGGTGGGAAGCGGACATCGGGGGCCGTGTGTCACCAGGACCCCAGGTAGGAGGGGTGGCACAGTCACCCAGCTGCGTGCAAGTGAGGGATGTGCTGGGGGGGGCCCAGCCTGTCCCCCCGCCC